CCAGGATCTTCTTCCAGGGGCGGTGAGTACGGGGCTGGCCCTGAGAAATAGCCTCACGGACAACACGCTCAAGGTCTGCCATGTCATTGTGCTTGAAAGACTGGATCATGGCGCCAGAGAGACGGGCACCGATGCGGATAGAGGCGTGGTTGAGTTCGTCCGAGATGATCAGAGAGCCCTTGGAGACGAGAGCGGGGAAAGAGCTGGCGTTCGTGACGTAACCCATAGAGAAGACCATAGCAGCAGGCTTGCCGACGAACTCAGCGACTTCACGCTCGACCTCGAGAGCAAGATCAGAGGTACCAGCAGCGCCACGGGGGCTGCAGAAGCTGATGCCATATCGCTTGACACACTCCTCAACGGCGTCGGCGCAGGGACCCTCGGATTGAGCGAAACCAAGGTAGTTGTAGGAGCTCATGTTGAGAGTCTCAGTGTAAGTGCCAGTGTACTGGTATGTGCGGTTGAAGTCGTCGGACTTGCGGTCCATAAGGGTGATGAAGCGACCGGGAACACCAGTGGTGGGACGAGCGAAGCAATCATCCAGACGCATCTTCAGACGTCGGACGTAAAAGTTATCAAAGTCGTCGTTCAGCGCGGCATAGCCATTGGAGGCCTTGAGGGCACGGTAGTGCTTGGGGTTGCCAAAACGCTTGCCGAAGAAATCACGGATGTGACCAAGGAGAATCAGGATGAGATAGCTGATGTAGGTGGTGAGAATGAAGTAGTAGGGAGGCTCATCCTCAACAGGTGCTTCGAGAGTCTCTCCGTGGGACTCGCTCGTGTATCGATGGTTGGGATGAAGGAGAGGACCGAACTGAGCGTCGGCACGCTTCTGGCGCTCGATCTCCTCGGCCGTTTGGGGCTGAAAGAGAGTCGTGGTCGAGGCATCGATGCTGTTGGGGTCACCGGGGCTGGCGGCAGAGAGAGAGATGGAGGGCAGACCGGGAGAAGACGATATGCCAGTGGCATTGGCCTGCTGCTGCTGAGCAGCGGCCAACGCCTGCTGAGCACCAGTCGACTTAGGGCTAGAAGAAAAGAAGTTGGTGATGCGGTTGCCCTTGGAGGTAGAAGGGCGCCTCTCGCCCGGCTTGACGGGTTGAGACATGGAGGATGAAGATGAGAAGATGTTCAGCCGACGGGGCATCTCTCCTGGCAAAAGTCGCGTAGGGTGCGGACTGGTCGTATCGTATCGGTGAAGAATCGTGATTAGATTGCGAAGACGCCGACCGAGAAGCGACACCCAAACTTAGTCAGGGCAAATGATTGAGAGTCTGCCGCGGAGGAGAGTGTCAGCACACGTGTGAATGTTAAAAATCGAGTCGACACGGTGATTGTCTGTGACGCATGCTTCGAAAGGAGCTTCCACAGGCCAGTTGCTTGGAAAGGGGCTCGGGAAGTGAGAAGCGATGATTGAGAATGCTGAGAGCTATGCAATGCAGAGCGCAATAAGGCCGTGCAGTAAGCAAGCAATCGATGCAGAGGCGTCTTTGTGTGTGCGAGAAGAAAATGGTGATGTTGAAGAAGGAAGCTTGAGCAACGACAAGTTTAAACTCGAGTTTGGGTTGCTCAGGCGGTGCAGCCAACGAGTACCACAGAGAGGTACGTCGTCCCAGGAGGCACAGGGGGCGCAGGAGGTGGCGTCGAATCAAACTGGGAAAGTGCTGATCCGCCCGCTGCAAATTGGCTGTGGGCACCGTCGCCAATTTAAGCGGAGCCACCCATAAACACCAAGGAAGCGACGGCAACAAACGATCCAATCGAAGCCAGTTGATGCCAGGAATTGGGATTGAAGAATGAATTTGAAACCAAGGACGAAATCACACAAAGAACAGGGAATAGCAGCTTACTCAGTCACCACCTGGTAGACACCGGCAGGAGCAGTTCGCGAATGTGCTCTACTGGCTCCAGATTCCAACCACCGAAACAAGCGTCTTCGAGTTGATCTGCAATTGATCAGGCCGCAACGCAAGGGCGTTCTAGTCGACTGGTCGGTAGTCTGCTCAGGCCAAGCAGTCTAACCACCAACACTGTAAAAAGTGCCGAAGGAACAAAGATGCCCGGGGTCGAGACTCTAGGACACGGCGATTAGGTCTGGTGGACCTCTCTCTATCACTATCACTCAGCCGAAGCCTGTGTCTGCAAGTGGACGACGACAGCAAGAAACCGACGACGACCCAACAACAAGCAGCAGAGTGATGGACGAAGGAAGAAGGAATGACAAGAAAAAGGTATGAAAGAAAGATACCACGAGGCGGCGCACTGCGAAGTGGGATCCGTTGAATTAAAAACAAGTCCAGGTCTGGGCCTCGGCGGGAAACAGCGGGGACTTTCAATGGGGACAACGTCTGAGAGCACCGAGATCACCGGATACAGTACAAGCTACGGAGGATAAAAACCAAGAACGTCTGAGTGCGATGTACGAGAAACGAGCTGCCGGTTCAAGGCTGCTGCTGTTAGGTGTGAGTTGTCGGCGGACGCATGTCACACACACCCGACCCGACGCGCGCGCGGTGCCGGACAGGGCCGGGCACCCATCACCGGGCAGACAGTGATTTCAAGGGGCCAACAGGCGGGGACTCGCATCTCGTCTCGTCTCGCTTCTTCGCCTTTTGGCCTCTTCCAGGTTCATCTTCCTGCCCAGACCATCGACAAGGGACTGAAGGACTCGGCAGTGCATTCTTCAAGGGCTGACGCATCACAACGAGCGCTTCTGGCCTGGGATACAGTGCTGCAATGGGAAGATCATGCCCTCTTCGTTTTCCGACTGCTCACACTTTTTTAGCTTACAGTCATCATAAGGACAGCCACTGCTACCCCAATTGCTCTCTGCTGCATACCGGCCGTTTCCTCTTCGCCTCCCATTGACACCTCGTGGATCCCCACTGATTCCATTGAGAACCCCCTGTCGAGGTCCCTTGTGCAAAGAGAGAGAAAAAAGCTGGCTTGCGCTACTAACCCCTGGCCCCGAGCTCTCCGGCGGCGTTCAAGTCTGCGAATGGGAACTCTCGGATGGCTCGACGACGCCACGATTTTGCACATCCCAGGCATCTTTTCCAACTCGCTTGGCTTGATTGCTTACTGCGTGCAAGCAGCCGTCCGCCTTACAAGGGCCCCGTGGTTCACCCAGCATGAGATTTCTGGAGTGCCCAGCTGGTACTGAGCTGTGATGATGAAACTTGAGAGAGGTGAGATGTCATCATCAAGGGGGCTTGCCGTTGCCCTGCCCAAGCTTCTCTAAAGCTTCTTCTCAAGCCACCACAAAACTCCGTCGGGGCCGGTATCGATGATGGCATTGCCGCGGGATCTCGCCTAGCAGAGTTTCATTAGCCTTGAGCCCTTGTTCTTTTTTTCTCTCTCCCGTCCCTTAGCCTGCCTCGGCCTGTCTTGTCTGGGCTGCCTCTCTGTTCCGTGTATTCGCTCGGTCTGGTCTCAGATCATGATCCATGACAATGGTCCATCACTCGCCTCCGTCTCCGCGGAATAAGCTACTGCACAAGATACACTTGCATTTTAGATGCTGTATAAATGGCATGAGGTCTCGACATAAATGCATGGGCGGGCGCTTACACCGACACGCGGCGCGATTAGATGCCACACAGCGGTTGGACAATCCGCCCGGTGCGGCGGCGCCTTGCATAACACAAAACTGCCAGCAGGAACTACACGCAGCAGTAGATCCTCAACCCCATCAGCCGCACGCACGACATGCTGCAACTCGTCCCTCACCGCCAGCTTCTTCTGGCCAGAGGTCCAACTAATGCAGGCGGACCGCGAGGATCTTGCCCCGTGACACCCCGGACCGACCTCTCGACCACCTCTATTCCCCAGTGTAAAAGGTGCAGCTTCAGCCTCGGTTTGCATCAGCCTGCGTCTCTATTCCGAATATATCATGCCATTGCTCCCGGATTGATATCGTGACTGTGGTTCTCTCCTCTCGGGTCTGAGTTGTCTCGTTTCGTCTCAGCTCACCTCGGGGCCAAATCCCAAGCGAAGGCTCGTCAACGACACAGCCGGATCAAATCGCGCTGGGGAGAGTCAGAAACCCAGCACCGAGGCAGGGTGCAAAGCACCAAGCAAGGGGTCTCGCTGAATCAACATGACGCATCCCATCGCGAAGTGTCTCCCAGTCCCAGGTTCAGGGTGCGGCCCCGGCGACTCGGGAAGATCATCATCCCGAGCCTCAGCGACTTCTCTCCCGTGGCAACCACATCAAGGCTCTTTTACAGGGTCCAATTTGGCGAAATTGCCATCTCCCTAAGACAACATGACTTTGCTTCAGCCAACGTTTGAATCTCCTTGATCATGATATACTGCCACAGGGTTGCTTTTTTGCGACCGATTTCTTTCCTTTTCTCCAGAGCTTCCAACGTTCTGGATGTCTATTTCAGCATGGAAGCTTTGATCAAAAGAAAGTAGAGGCGTCCATGACAAGCCATTGCCCGCATGGCCAGGGACTCCTCCAGATGGTTCAAAAGGGTCGTGTCCACCATCATATCATCCCAGTTACGAGACCACTATCTCTCTCATGTGGGGTTTGGCGTCAAGCCTCAAGCCTTGACTCAAGCCACAGAGAACTCTCCAGCCATATGTGGCTCACCACTCTGCTCAGCCTCCCCCACCATAGCCACACCTCGGGGTCGGACCGCCGCCGTGCGGGGTGGGGGAAAGCCGAGAGCGGGAGGGGACGGCTTTCAACGGCCAGTACCTCTGTCGTTCCGCGTTTCCAGGTCGGAAATGTAGAGCTCCCTCGGAATAATCAAATCTTTGATATCATTTTTCCTCCTCAGTGATCAATAATAGCGCAATTCCTTCTTCCTCATACTCTGCTCTCCTGTCTGTCTTGCTGCTTTCTCGTACTGCGTCTCTCCCATTGAATCCTCGGCCATCTCTCCTTCCCCAGAGTCGACGTCACTCAGCTCTTCCCCAACAAAAACACCATCTCGAGGGGTTGTCTGACCGACCAGCTTCTCACCGTCTCTACTCTCCTCTCAATGGCCGTCATGTCAATCGATAAGCTGGCTCCATCCGCTGCGGCGCCTCCGGACGACAATGTGCTCTGGAGGCATCCGAATCCCGAGTCGACTCCGATGTGGGAGTTTCTTCAGCATGTCAACAAGAAGCACAGGCTAAGCTTAGATGGCTACCCGGCATTGTACAAGTGGTCCATTGACGAGGTGGCTTTGTTCTGGGAGGAAGTTTGGCACTTTGTGGGCATCACGGCGTCTAAGCCGTTCGACAAGGTACGAAAGCAGTGAAGACGGGTCTTGGAGGGCATTTACGGCTGGTTGAGGAACACCAATTGACCTTCAACATGCTTCAATGGCTATGAAACTCAACTAATTGCCCCCACAGGTTCTTCCTTCTAACGCTCCCATGTATCCTCGTCCCGACTTCTTCTCAACTGCTCGTCTCAACTTTGCCGAGAACCTCCTCTTTCCCGCAACATCTCCACTTCCCGAACCGGATTCTCCAGCCGTCATCACCGTTACCGAGCTCTCCGGCTCCACGGTGACAACTTCATGGGCTGAGCTCCGAGAAGCCGTTCGCCGCTGCTCCAATGCCCTGCGCGCGGCGGGCCTCAAGCCCAATGACGTTGTCGCGGGCTTCGTATCTAACCATGTCGAGGCGCTTGTCGCGATGCTCGGCGCTGCCGCAATTGGCGCTATCTGGACTGGAATCAGTCCTGATAATGGCGTTTCGGCTGTTTTGGACCGTCTAAACCAGATTGCGCCAAAGGTCCTGTTCGCTGATAACGGCGCTGTCTACAATGGCAAGGAGTGGTCCAGTGTCTCAAAGACGACCGAGATTGTGAGCGCTCTGAAGGGCAATGGACTTGAGACCGTGGTTGTTATCAACAACATCAGCGCAGGGGGGCTTGGTCTCGAGGAGATCAGCAAGCAAGGAGTTTCGGCGGTCGAGTATGCCAAGTTCCTCGACTCAGCCTCTGACGAGGCGGTAAAATTTGAGCAGCTCCCTCCATCGCACCCTCTCTATGTCCTCTACTCGAGCGGTACTACTGGACTTCCCAAGGCCATTGTGCATACGGCACTTGGTACGCTCCTGCAGCACAAGAAGGAGCATCTGCTTCACTGCTCGCTCACTTCATCGTCCAGGATGCTCTACTACACCACGACCTCGTGGATGATGTGGCACTGGAGCATCGGTGCCCTTGCAGTCGGCGCTACAGTCATCGTCTACTCTGGCTCGCCCTTCCGCCCTCACTCTCACCTCTCTATCCCACGTCTCCTTTCCGAGTTTGAGGTTACTCACTTTGGTACTTCGGCCGCCTACTTGACTGCCCTTGAGGCCAACAACGTCTACCCTATCCGCGACAAGTCCATTGACCTTTCCAAACTCCAGGCCATCTACTCGACTGCCTCGCCTCTACCTCCTTCCACCTTCAAGTTTGTCTACGAGGCTTTCCCGAAGCACATCAACCTCGGCTCCATCACCGGAGGCACAGACATCATCTCCCTCTTCGGTGCGCCCTGTCCACTCCTCCCTGTGCGTGTCGGTGAGATTCAATGTGCCGGTCTTGGTATGGCTATTCGTGCCGTCGACTCTGTCACGGGAGAACCGATCCCGGCTGGTGAGCCTGGCGACCTCCTCTGCGTCAAGCCCTTCCCGTGCCAGCCCCTGACTTTCTTCGGCGCCAACGGCGAGGCCAAGTATAAATCGGCCTACTTCGATCGGTTCGAGAATGTTTGCGGTGTAGATGGACCAGTATGGCACCACGGTGACTTTGTGCGAATCCCCGACCCTGGAACGGGAAGCCTCGTCATGCTGGGTCGATCAGACGGTGTTCTGAAGCCCTCGGGTGTGCGATTCGGATCAGCCGAGATCTACAACATCCTCACACGCTTCTTTGCCTCGGAGGTCGAGGACGCTGTATGTATTGGACGCCGGAGAGAAACAGACACAGACGAGACGGTGTGTCTCTTTGTGGTGATGGTTCCCGGGCAAAAGTTTGGTGATGACCTGCGCACACGCATCAAGGCCAAGATCAAGGCCGAGCTGAGCCCACGACATGTCCCAGGCGTCGTGGAGGAGTGTGGCGGAGGTGTGCCCAAGACGGGCAACGGCAAGAAGTGAGCATCTATTTACTTTTCGAGCTTTGATATTAGTCAGTGCTGACTTTTTGGTTGTAGGATCGAGGTGGCAGTCAAGCAAATTCTTTCTGGTCTCAACGTCAAGACCAATGCGAGCGTTGCTAACCCAGAGGCGCTGGAGTGGTTCAGGGAATGGGCAAGTACACACTAGGTGATTTTTACATGGAGATGGTTACTGGAGTAGACTTCTGGTTCAGGAAAATACTAGAATTCGGTCCTATATGGTGGGTTGTTGGATGTAGACAAAACATAGTAGAGCTTCTGATTAGGATTGCGCAGGCTTATGGGTATTTCTAGTTATTTTAAGAGAGTCGTCACTTTTAGGCTGGCAAAATGATATTTCTTTACGAACGGTTGGTATATGAGGTTGCGGTCTATGGAGTATTTGATTATTCACACATTGTGATTCAACATGTAGTTGAGTTGAAGTTGACGCAATCTGGTCCACTGTCCGCCATCCATAACTCAAAGGTTTAGCATTATCAACAATCCCAATACGACAAGTTAGTTAACTTGAGAAGACCGAGAAAACACAATAATCCAAACGAATGCCCACATCCGCTGGACTATGGTACAAAGGCCCAGGGCTAGGGGGAAGAGGATGCCCTGCCACGATTGTTGGTCTCTACAGGGTAGGTTGTGAGCATGGCAAACTCAAACCACCATTTCTGGACGTTCCTCGTGATGTTACGGATAGACAAGAACCACGCTCGTATAACCGAGTAACGGGTCGTATCTTGGCAGATGTCCCATTACTCATATCCCAAAGGCTAGACCTGCTACCGGAAAGTTTCACTGGCCATGGTTGATAGTATGGATGCTTCTCCCAGTATACACTTCTCCGTTACGCTCAGCCATTAGGCCTCATGGACGTGGTTTACAGTGTATGCTTATTGCGGGAGGAAAAATATGGTCAGGTCTTCTCACAACCGGCGCAGGTATAGGAAGCTGAGGAGGTTGCCTTGACATGTTCAGTTTTAATATGGCCTCCGATACTTGGGGTGGATAACCTCGACGAGAGAGCACCACATGGCAAGAAGCAAGCTCTGTGTCTCGGCACCACAGAAAGCTGCCCAGGAAGATTTCAATACGATTCGATACCTTGAGCTTGCAGGTAGACGAGTCGGTTCATTCACTGTTTCCCGCGGGCTGTGGTAATTCATAGCATCCATAGCAAGCGGCTGCGCGCTAACTGAACATAGCCAAGGGAATGTTCTCCTGAGCGCGATGTCTCTTGTTTCTATATCCACGACCTTGTTTGTTGAATAAGGCCTTACTACGTATGCTTCCACGGAGGGCTTTAAACTTGGTTACGTAGGGACGCTCTCGGACTAACAATTCTTCACCGATAACACGGCGCACGGCTCGCGGACCTGCGTAGGGTTATTCGAAACTGAGTCATGTCTGCATATTGCGACATGGACAAGGCACATTGGGTCGGGAAAAAAAGAAAAGCAAGACATGACAAAGCAAGACATGACAAAACAAGACAAGGCAAGACAAGGAAAAAAGGAAGCTCTCTCTAGCTGCGTCGCATCTTGCAGAAATGAGATCGCCGAGCTCCTGCTCTCATTTGTAAGCGCGAACCATGACGACGAGCAAGGGAAAACGCCTTGGTCAAGCCATACGAGGGAACAAGACAAATTTGGCGTCCAACTTTCCGTCACATCAAAAACGGAGCCGGGTCGCTGGGACAAAGGGAAGCCTTGGCTAGGGCTTCGAGAAGGAAATAAACGGAGGTGGTGTCATGAATCGTGCACCGGAGATAGGGGGACACACATGCACACTGTTGTCTGTCTGTCCGTCTGCCGGTCGTGCTGGTGTGAAGGACGATCTGGAAGCAAAAGGGGCGCCAAGCCGGCAAGCTATCGCCTGGCCTCAAGCTTTTCCCGACTCAAATGAGCGCGCCTTTGATCAGGAGTCAGGAGAGATCAACACCGGTGAGGCCACGGCAATTGCTCTTTGTGGCATTGACGGCAAGTCTGTTGAACGAAGCGCGGCATATAACAAGCTCAAATATTGCAATGGGCTGTTATTGCTAATGCCGGCTTGAAAACTGGTAACCTGTTGGTGAGAGCAACCTTGCACCGAAGCCGTGATGTCGATTTGGGAACAAAGCCGAGATTGTCATCGCGAGATAGTTCAAGGTACAGGAACGGCAAACACGTCGAATCTGTGACTGTTAGCCGAAATGATATTTTTGACCACTGCGCAACTATGTCTGTACGAGACTTCGGGTTAACAGTCAACGTGCCCTGGTTGTCTGGAAAAGGCAGTCGGGAAGAAATGCCTGTCAATACCCCTGAGCTCATCAGGGGCATCATCGTCCATCGTCCATCACTATCCGGACTGGGAATGGGACGGGTAAGGGGACTGGGGTTCGGCCACATCGTAAGCCCCTCCCTTAGGCCTTGAGTGGGTGGATGTTTGGCGGATGGTAAATTGCGCTGGGGCCCTGGACCTTCTGCCCTAATAGGCGCCATTGGATGTTGAATTAAATAACCGCATGCCTGTCTCAAGGCGCGTTGTCTTGTCCCAGCTTTTCTGCAGTGGGTGGGCGAGGCTAACCTGGGAACATGACACCATGAAAATCTTGGAGCCACGGCGGCGGAAGGCCGATCTTGACAGACTTGGGATGTATTTGACTGGACAGACAACCAAGCCAGCCAGCCAAGCCGACTATTCGAGAACTCAGGGATGGCCTCGATCGTAGATAAGAAAAGCCGCTTTTGCTGGCTGTCCTCGAAAAAGGCCCTGGCATATGTAGAACTTGACCATCCCATCCATAGGCATTGCGATCTGGATGCGCTATGCATAGCGCACTTTGGAGGTTGCATTCTGCTGCAGGTACCATCTGTAGTACGGCACCGTCCCTGGCCGTCCAAAGTCCCTGCCTGGCCAGAGAGCCAAACGGCAACAATGTTGTGCCCTGCTCGGCTCTTCTTAAGCAGCGAGAGCGCCCACTCCTTATTCGGAATCAACTGTCTGACAGATGGCGGTTGGCTGCTTTGCTTCAGGCTGAGCCGCGGAATGGCTGTCGTACGACCAGTCGACGGATATGGGTGTGGGTGGAGGTTGGCGGCTCGAATCAAAGGAGTCGCCCTATCAACAAGCTTCATGCTGAACGCCGCCAGACGTAAACGGCGAAGAAGCACCTGAGCCTCTTGCTCCATTGCCAGCAATTGAGTGCAAGAATGATCGACAGCCAGGACAACCGAGAAAGCCATCCATGAAGGAGCAGGGTCCAGAATCGCAACAGAGGAACAACCAAGACAAGCCTCCAAGGGGCCTGCCTTGCAAGGAACAGGGGATTGCTGGAGCTCCTGAGTATGGCTCCACAAGATCCTCCGCGGCTCCATTTGTTCCCCGGAAGACTTGCAGCTGCTTGCCCCATATGTACCATGATGAGAGCCGGGGGTTGCGACCGAATTGTTGCTGGTCGTTGCCAGTGGGAATAATGTTGGAGGCATCGCGCTGGCTGCTGGTAGATATCGCCTCCAACTCCGAAATCGCAAACGGCGTCGGCACAGTGCGTTTTTTGAGTTGTGTAAAGCTTTCTTGGGCCTTGCTCTAGACATATTTGTGCCTGGGTAGAGTCCCGTTGTCCCGGGGCCGGACAATGTGTCTTGTTCCACGGGTGTCTTCTTGACGAAACCGTACCAAGGTACCGAGCATCCTTGGCTATTGCGGGAGCCGACTGACCACAAGGTTACGGGTCAAGCATACCATACCGTAGGGGGCTTGAAGAAGACGACTCGAAGCCCTGGACCGTCCGTACCTGGGGAGAAGCGCGGTGACCACCCGAGACCTGGTGTTTTGTTTCTGTCCATTCCAGCTGCTTGGGAGCAGTGACAACTGGAGAAACAAGGCCCTCATCGCCAGGACTTTGTTCGGCCGCAAGGGGCCGTAGACAAAACCAATCATTGTCCCGACGACAATGGGGGGCTGCAACCCCATATCGCACCAAGCTGGTCCTGCCTGTTGACCGTGTCGTGTTTTCCTTCCGGGGGTCACTGGGTTGAACCCCGTCGAGTAAGTGAACCAGCAGGATTAATTTGAGTGGATGACGGTGGAGTCGACAAGGCCCATAGGCGGCAGCCCGGAAAACAGCCCACGGAGGCTTTGGAGGAGGTACCTCTAAGACCAGCAGGTGTGCTGTGAAGCTCAAGGTCACTCTTGAGGGCAGCAAGTACACCTCCTTCTGGGTCGGACTGGGCTCGTCTTGGCCCAAGCTACGAGTAGCTAGTCCGGGTTCTAGGTATGAGTTGCTAAACAGGCACCTGGTCCTCCTCCTGAATAAGTAGAATAACATGCTACCGTCGACAGCCTTGACTGTCACGATCACCCTCGAGGCGACCCGGGTAGGGCACTGTGTCGTACCAGCAGATGACCAGCGATATCCAATGCCGTGGGCTGGTTCTCTGGTGTTGAAGCTTGTCGGAGCTGGATGGATGCCATGATCGAATTTGGCGGGAGATCACCTCAGTGGCTCTGGGTGGATGCCCTCTGACCAGCGGACGCATCCAGTGGTCGTGTCCGCTGCAATCTGGGTTGCAATCTGGTTTGTGGTGGTGCGCCTCCAGACTTGCATCCAGCTCGGGCTAGGTCCCTCCGCTGCTAGGGCGAGGCTCTAGCCCTGTTCGCTGCTCGGAAAGGCCTGGCTCGGCTTCTCAGTGGGCGAGGTGAGCTTCTGATGGAAGCTCGGGTGGGCTTAGTTGATGGTTCCCAGTCCGAGGTCAGGGGCTGGTCTGTTGTTGATGCTGTGCATGTAATGTAATATGAGAGTACTGCTGCACAAAGTCCCGTCGCCTCGAGGAGGGGGCAAGACAGCTCAGCTCCAGGCTGCGACTTGGATCATAGTCGACGGTAAGTGTCTCCGATAAAGGAGGGCATTGCACGTTTAAAGTTGGAATGAGATATCCAAACGTAGGTGGTGATGTCGATGATGATGGCCATGGAGCCCGTACATGAAGAGGATGCCATTTGAGTGGATGATGGATCAATGGATGGATGGAAGCCCGGAAGAAGTGCACAAAAAGGGTCGGGGCGACGGCGACGGCCGCAGGGTTCTAGTTGCAGGTGCGGTGCGTGCGTCTCCTTGGTGGAAGTCCACTGTAAATTGACGGCGGGGCCTTGGAGATATCGAGGTACATTGAATTTGGTTTGGACGTTGAGAGGGACGATGTACCCGTCTTGGGGCGGACCGAGGCAGCGCGGCAGAGCGTTACTCCTACTTGTCTTGCGTCGTCCACGATAGCATCAAGAACCGCAAAACAATACCCGAATACCCCAAGCTACCTGCAATACAGCTGACTTTGAGGAACCGGCCGAAATTCTGCCCGTCCGCAGCTGTCGATATTTGGGATGGATGGTGGTCATGTCCTAGGTCCCGTCCTCCAGCTAAGGCATTGTGCTGCGACTGGCTCGCCCGCCGCCCGCGCCCACACTCACCCACTCGACGCACACACCCCCCTGTAGCTTGCATTCCCTCCCCCCCTAAAGGGCCCCTACCACTAGCAATCCTCCTCTCCTCGCTCCCTCTCCCTCTCCGGCCATCTCCCTCTCCACTCGCACTGCAGTTTGTCCATTTCCATCCATTCATCCACCGACCTCAGCCGGCCGAGCCTCTGTTTCCGCCCATCGTCAATTTCTCCTCTCGATCGCCGCTCCTTTCTGCTTTGCTCTGCTCTCCTCGAGCTCGACTTGGACCTGAGCATCGTCGTCTTCCCCTCGACTTCGTTCTCGCCCTCGACACCGCTTCCGAAACACCCCATCCCGCTCTCCGTCTCGCTCCTCGCGCGTCCGTCGTTCGATCACAATGAATTCTCAAGGCCCCAGCGATGTGTCGCCCGAGGCCATGCAGTCGCGCATCCAGCAGGCCCGTCGCGAAGCTGAGACTCTGAAGGACCGAATCAAGAGGAAGAAGGATGACCTCGCCGACACAACCCGTATGTGCTTCTCCTCGTTTGCTCTCCCCTGGCGGATGTGATGGCCCGTCACATCAACTCCCGCGATGATTGCATGGACGTGAACTGTAAACAAGGCTTCCATGCGCTCTCAACGCCATTCCGACATTGTCTTGTTCTTGCTGTAGAAATCAATGCTAACGCGGTCTTTCCAATCCACCAGTTCGCGCTGTCGCGCAACAGGCCCACGAGCCTATCCCCAAGAACCAGCTGATGAAGGCCAAGCGGACGCTCAAGGGTCATCTGGCCAAGATTTATGCTATGCACTGGTCTACCGACCGGAGACACCTCGTCTCTGCCTCTCAGGACGGCAAGCTCATTATCTGGGATGCTTACACGACCAACAAGGTCCACGCTATCCCCCTCCGTTCATCTTGGGTCATGACCTGCGCCTACGCCCCCAGCGGCAACTTTGTTGCTTGCGGTGGTCTCGACAATATCTGCTCTATCTACAACCTTAATCAGCAACGCGATGGCCCCACGCGTGTCGCTCGCGAGCTCTCTGGCCACGCCGGCTACCTGTCCTGCTGCCGCTTTATCAACGACCGCAGCATCCTCACCTCGTCAGGTGATATGACTTGTATGAAGTGGGATATTGAGACTGGCCAGAAGGTGACCGAGTTTGCCGACCATCTCGGCGACGTCATGAGCATCAGCCTCAACCCGACCAACCAGAACACCTTCATTTCCGGTGCTTGCGACGCCTTCGCCAAGCTCTGGGATATCCGCGCCGGCAAGGCCGTCCAGACCTTTGCTGGCCACGAGTCCGATATCAACGCCATCCAGTTCTTCCCTGACGGCCACTCGTTTGTGACCGGATCCGACGATGCCACTTGCCGTCTCTTTGATATTCGCGCTGATCGTGAACTCAACCTCTACGGGGTAAGTGTGGGTCTGGCAAATTGGCTCCTGAGTCTACGCTAACGCAATTGGTAGTCTGAGTCCATTCTCTGTGGCATCACCTCGGTAGCCACATCCGTCTCTGGACGATTGCTCTTTGCTGGATATGATGACTTCGAGTGCAAGGTGAGCATTGTTGTCTGGCTCGTGACATTGGTTTCGAGCGTGTTAGTAAATCTACTCCTACTAACACGATATAGGTGTGGGATATTACTCGGGGTGAGAAGGTTGGATCTCTCGTCGGCCACGAGAACCGAGTCAGCTGCTTGGGCGTGAGCAACGACGGCACAAGCTTGTGCACAGGCTCATGGGATTCTCTGGTGAGTAAACTGCCGAACCATCAACGGCGCTACAGGCGTACTCTCTGTCTGGCTCGGAATGCTGGGATGGGTTTCTATAACGGAGTCGTGACTAACATGATCGCCAGCTTAAAATCTGGGCCTACTAAACGCTGTTTGCGACCACGATGGACCTTTTGTCTGGATTACAAATGCCAGTACGCGCCGCGGCCTCTATACCATCTGCGTTCAAACGATTATATCACCCACCGATTTCGAACAGGACCAACGACGCCCATCACAGTCGCGACTATTGGCGTACGCAGGACGACGTGACGAACCGCACCTATCTCTCACACATACCCTCTACAGACGACTTTCCCCGGCCGGACGCACGCGAGAATTCGAATGTGGACTGTTTTCCCGTGGTGGACTTGGGAAAGAAGATACACTGGCTGATGCGATACCTCCATTTCTTTTATTTTTCGTCGTTGTTTTCCTCATCGTTTCTTGTCTCCCTCCGCACTGCAAAATTCTCTGCACCATAGTTTCCCCTTTTCTGACACAACTTGGGTTGTTAGTAATGGGTGGTTGTATTACTGGATGGGTTTCCTCTGTGTTCTTCAGTTACCCCCTGTATGCGCCTCGAGTCTCCGCGGCACGCACTTCTCGGTTCCGACCGTTTTTCTACTACAAAGCGATAATTCAACGAGCCGGGGTCAGCTGCGGGAGGAGGAGTTGACGGCTATACCGAGAAAAAATTTCAGACCTCGAGATAATACACCATGATGTTTCAAAAGCTATCCCACACTTGCCGCCTGCCCATCGTTCTCGGTCGCTGGCGTATATCACGAATTCTGAAACCACTCGGAGGCTCTCTGGACGGACTCGGCTGGATGGACGTGTTTGCCGGCGGAGTTGTTGCGATTGGAAGGAGAGTAGCCATGAGCTCAGCTCAGGTGAGTAACGACTTTATCGGGAACTCGACTCTTGAGGCGGCTCATCTGGCTTGAGGAATGTCCCTTGGAGGACCAGTTGATTCTCCGGACATGGTGTTTTCGATGAATGGTTTCTATGCTGTCATGGTTGTCTCGGATCCCCACATTGCACTGTTTCTTGATTTAGTTATTACATTGTACGGATGGTCCCATCTGGACTGAGATCCCTCATCGACGATTGAGGGATAAGGATATGGTTGCGTCATGACTCGGGAGGCTATCATGCGTTGATTTTGAAATGTTGCAGCGGTCATGGAGAGATTCGCAGGGAGATGGGAGGATAGAGGAGATAGATATTTAATGGTCCCCTTTTTGAGACTCGGCTTCTCATCGTCATGGTGATGTCTTGTGTGATTAATTATAGGAGAGAAGGGAAGGACTGAAGTATCATGATGTGAAAAGATGTATGCGATATTTGGGGAGCAAGGGAATCAGACATGCCGCAACACAATATGCAAACATGGACGGGTGACGGGCAGGGCAATACCACCGCTTCAACTGAGTCTCATGGCCATTTTATAACTCTTGGCTGGTGACAGAGGGGATGAATGGAGGTTGAAGCATGTTGAACATATACCTTCTTGGCTCGCTGGTACTCTCACAGCCCAAGGTCTGGTAGTGATCACAGTCTCGTCTTCTCTGAAACGAGCACGTGCAAACGAGTAAGGTGCGGTTGCAAGATTGATAGTCCTCAAAGCTGGGGCCATGTGCAGTCTTTAAAGACAAACAGTGCTGCTATCGGGGAGTCGGACAAGCTGAATGAACCAGGGAACCAACAACTCTCCCACTCCCACCCGCAGCATTGGTCATCAGGAGACAAAGACAAATGAAGATGCACGTTATATGACGATGGCTTGACGGAAGAAGCAAGAATACACAATGTGGAAAAAAACAAACAAAAAAAAGACTGGCGCCTCTTGTTGGACCGTTGGGTCACACATCACGGGATGGAGTCGATATGCGCTGTCGAGCATTGGTATTACGAGAGCGCGTACCTCATGATGGTCCGAGACTGATCGAGTCCACAGTTTCTGCATCTTCGATGGAACAAGAAGATGGTCTCGATACTGAGGAAAAGTCATTAAGGAGAGGGTGTAGCATGGAGATTACAGCGTTGTAGTCTGGCAGACTTGGATCTTAAGATGTGCGTTAATGCTTCAGCCCTCTTTCATCAAGGAGTAGAAGCCAAGGAGAGCGGTCAACGATGAAAATGCCCCAAGGAGGCTCTACCGACGCCGTCTGTTCTAGAAAAGTTCGGCGATGCCGGGGTGCTGCTACCTCAAGCCTCAAAGGGACCCGCCACGAAAGCCTGGCGCAATTTGCGGGCATTGAGGGCATCTCGCGTGTTGTGGCTTGAGGAGGAACGTGCTATGAATAGAATTGCAAGTCAAGTCGTGGGGGGGGCAAGTGAGGTTATTGAGCATGGACTTGCTTTTTTACATGCTCCTCGAATTACTGAGGCTTTAATGAGGGTTGGTGATGGGAGGGTCTGGGGAAATAACGGTCGTGGTTGATCTTGATGTGCATTAGGAGGTCGGCAGAGGGCGCTAGAAGAAACGATTGTGGGTTGATTGTGGTTTGAATGACTGGCGATTCTGACGCTATTCTCGGCGAGTGCTTTCTTTTGTTTGAAAGTACCGTAGCATGGCTCGTCTTTGTCTGGTGTTGTTGGTCTTTGATGCAGCCAAGCCCTCTTCTTACATCGAACCACGGGACAAGGCTGAAGCGTCAGACACGAGCAAAGTAAACAAAGAAGGACGAAATGGACCCGGGCGTCAGAAAATGCACGCATGATGCCATGGTTCTCAAAGAACAAAGCCATCTGCCCGGCTGCTCTCGCCGAGTCTCTGCGTTCCGTTCCGGCAATGCACTCATGGGTTCGTCAGAAGCTACAAGGTTGCCAGTCAGCGATGCACCCTGCTCGTTCTCGACTTTCTTTTCAGCTCTCGCTCTCTCAAGCAAAACGTAGTGTGAAAGAAGAGCCGAGGCCGTCCTCGTGCCCATGCTTGCTCGTCGTCACAGCCGCGCCGTGTGGACGTTTCCGGAAACTCTGGATTCCGCAGGTAGCGCCACCGCCATTGTTCTCATCGTGACTTGGCTGAGTGAGACCAAGGAAGAAAAAACAAAGCAAAGCCTCAATTCATTCATGGCTGGGGCTTATTCGAGAAGCCTGTGCGGGATGATTGCCAAAACCATGCATCCACGACTCGGTGGTTGACACAAATATCAAAGCAGTCTTTGTTCTGAGACTCTTGGTTCTTTGCAGGCCATATTTGCGTCAACTCTAAAGCCTCGTGTGGCAGGTTGCAACGCTCGGAAGTCGCGTGCGCCATCATCGGCTCTTCTCTCTTCACCGTCTGTTTCGACGAGCGAGATCAGTGTCCCCCATGTCGTTTACTGGTGTGAAACAAGAGCGTGAAACAAGGGCGGTTTGCGCTAGCTTCGGTCTAAGCCCGTGGGACGGGGACGGGACAGATGAAGAGTCGTCATGCTCATGCTAAGATGCTGGGGGATGAGTAAGAGGTAGGATCGGGTAGGGAAGACCGGGCGATATCAGAACCTGGTATTGAATGCCGGGACTAGGGATTGGCTGAGACGAACCGTGTTTTTCCTGTTGGAATTCGGAAGCAGCGTGGTCGAGGCAACGTCGGATGGGATGACAATCGAGTTGCGTCTTGGTCTTCGCCGCCGCCCGGTATGAAATGTGACGAGTGAATCAATCATCTTACGTTGGTAGGAAATGGATGGAATCCTACACCTCGTGGATATTTGACTTGGGAAGGCTTGGTGGTGAGACCCATGTCCCAGTCGGCAGATGGAGTGGAGGACTGTCTCGCATGTGATTGGTTCCCAGACACGAAATGGTTGGCCAGAAGATGCCTGCACTTCATGCCAGGAACCCGAGGCACCTCAGAGTCTGTTTCTGGACAGCCGCATGCTGCAGAGACCCGTTCTCACTTGAACGAGCTGCTGCAGTGGGCGATTCAGCGGGCGGGGTGGGACGCTTCAGGTGTTGCTGCTGGGCTGTTGCTGACTGAGAGTTCCGTCGGGTTGGTCAGGGCAGGGCTCACAACTCAACACCACGCAATATTCATGTTTGCATCACCAACGGCGTCTGGAACCACCAGAATTCCTCATCTCTCACCTGCTTGCGCCCCTGAGCAGCGCATCCGTCCATTCTGTCACTGCTGCATCAAGCTCATTTCTTGACCATTGACTTTCTCGGCCAGGTGACCCCCGTAGCGCAACGTCGCCATTTCCCATCCCATCCGTGACAGACCCCCCCGGTCATGCCGATGCCCAAAACAAGACACCAACCCTCCAGCCGCCCGTCCGCCACGCACCAAGAGGAGAAACCGTTTGGTTTTTTGAGCCCCCCTCTGCTAGACTAATCCCTGTCAGTCTGTGGCGACCGCGCCCCTGGCTACTGGTGTGGCTTGCAGATTTCATCGACCTTCTGGTCTTTCGTTGTCGCATCACCGCCCGACCCTTCATCCACCTCCACCTCCACCTCCAACGCAAGCAGCGCAGTCATCAGCTCCGTCGCATTCCCCCTTCTTCGCAACCCTCTGCGCGCGCCCTGCAACGTGCGCTCGATCCCTGTTTCGCCCGACTCTTGCGCCCTCGTCCAACGTGTCGTCGCGACCCCGTTTCTCGGTTCACGAGGTGGCTCGACCGCGTTCCTCTCTTGTTTCTCGTCAACCTTGCTCCCGACTCCTTACATTCCTCTCTCCGTACGTCGTCACTCGACCCAGTTCTGAAACAGCCCGACTCCCAAAAGAGGATCCGCTTCCTCCGCTTTGTCGACTCTGCCCTCCGTTCCCAGCTCCCGATCTCACCGCCCTTGCCCTTGTCTCGACACTCCTCCAGGCTTCAATCTTCGGCTTTCGCCTTGTGCCTTGTTCCTCACCCCTGCTCCACATCTTCCAGAACGATACCCGTCTCCAAAGTCCAAACCCTGACGCTGTTCTGACGCTGCCCTCCATCAACCACACCCTCCCTCGAGATACATATTAAGAGCCTCCCCCCCACCAACTTGCCCACCATGTCAACTGCTGCTCAAGAAGAGTTCAACGACCTAGTCGCCAAGAACACCCATCGCGAGACTCTCCACCCTGAAGACCGCTACGACTCTGATCTTGAAGATCTCGACGAGGAAGACACCTTTCGCAACAACCAGATCGACGCCGCTATGCGTATGCCTACTATGGATCGCCTCACTGGCGCTGGTGCCACTGATATCAAACTTCCCCCGGCCTCTTTCGACAGCGGCCGCTCCACCGGCGTCAAGGGCGTCATCGCTGATGCTCGAAACTACGAGGCTGCCCGCAAGAACAAATGGCGACACCGTGTGCGCACTGCTCGCAACAGCATCTTTGGCATCGATGCCGCCGTCCAGCCTCCCCCCAGGAGCGAGACCAGCGAGTCCGAAGATGATGTCAAGAGTGATGCCGATGAGGAGTCTTTCCTCCAGCAGTGGAGGGAGAGCCGAAGGCGCGAACTCGAGAGCGAGGCCAACCGTGCTGTGAGGAACCGGAGAACCAGCCCCAGTGTTCGCATCTATGGCAGACTGGATGAGGTGGATGCTCTGGGATATCTCGACGCTATTGAGAAGGTGGGACGGGAAACCACCGTTGTCGTCTTTGTCTATGACCATGAGGTATGTTCAACCACTTCCCACTTGAGATGGAACACAATGCTAACTTGCGCAGTGCGAGGTTTCGGCTACTATCGAGTCGGCACTTATGCCTCTGGTTAAGAACAACCCCGAGGTTCACTTTGTCAAGGTCCACTACGAGGAGATCGAATTTGACAACGCCGCCGTGCCAGCTATGCTGGCTTACCGGAATCAGGGCGACCTGTTTGCCAACCTGACCGGTCTGATCGAGATGATCCCCGACGACGAGATCTTTGGCACCTCGTCGCTGAAGGAGCTCTTCCAGAAGCACACCATCCTATGATATGTCCGGACCATATCACGCTATATCACAAACACTCTACACTTAATGCGGCCATGTCTACGACAACAATCACTATTACTTCTCGTAGTCGTCAGGCCACCTTGACGACTCTTATTACGATACCCCAGACACAGCGCTAGCTCCCACAGGAGGGATAGATTCACGCTGGCCTTTTTTTGTTTTCTTTGTCATATCGGTGGAGTTTGGATGCCACGGGAGTCTGCACTGCACTGCCTTTTTACAGTCTGAACTCGGGTTGAAAGAGTGTGATGAGCATTGGAATGAAGACGGGCGGAGCCCATGGGATAGAATACGGGAATTCATGGGATGAAGATTAGAGATACCCTGCCTTATACATGGACACCTGGGTACTTGGGATAGGAAGGGAAAGGGGAGATACTATGAACTCGCTTGACACTGAATTACACGAATAATCATGAGATTGGACGTCCACCTTGGCAGTATAGAAGCATCAATCAAAGATTCCAAACATTTGATCGTCCCGTTTAAGTGATTGGATAAACAAACACTGCTGCTTTTGCCTGGGTACTAGCCGTGCTAGGGCAGGTAAGACAGCAATGAGACAGACTACTGACACAAGACTGATTTTCGGGATTAGACAGAAGATACCGAGGATATAGTCTGCAGAGTCCTCACAAAGAAGTGTCACAAGCTGTCTTCTTCTTTGGTGGAGGCTTGTCGTGAATAAGCCGGAAGTCAGTGGTGGTTCAAGTCCGAGAGTCGTGGCGGTTCCAGAGCCTCACTACAAACTCGGTGTGTTTCAAAAGGAGGGCAAAGCCCGGTACTTCGAAAGTGAAGTTGCCCGTGGTTGCCGTGAGTTAGCATGTGTGTTGCTAAAGGATTCTCTATGGTTGGTCAAAGTGGTTTTGAGGAGTCATCTTGAGACAAAAGGGTGAGGATGCATATAGACACGCACGAGTTGTTGGTGCCGTACGCACGAGAGTCTTACGTCATACGACGCCCAGACAACTTTAAAGAGATACGGCCCGCCAAGGGGATGAAAGACAAGACAGCACTTTAGCCCTGAGGGAAAGCGAGAAACACTCGGACAGATTCAGCCCCCCCACGTTGGGCTCAAAGGGTTCTTTGAGATCTGGAGGCAATGATATGGCGCAAGGGAGAGCGACAGCGGTGAGCAGATAGCAATCAAGTTGACTATCCCGTAGAAGGCCTAAACTGTCGAGTGAACGAGTCGGTTTCGGCGGTTAATGGCGAACCTGGCCTGACAGGAGACGCAAAGGAGGTTGTCGAGATGCTCACGCGGGCCAAAAGTGGATTGATGGAGCGAGGGAAGAGGTCTCAAATACCCCGCAGTTGCGCTAGGGAGAGTCACGACGGTTCTTGGTGGGGGGCGGAGCTTGCGATAGCGGCATGCACGACGATAACGATGGCATCAGTGACAGCACCCTTGGTTGAAGCCGAGGGAGATCTACAAGAGGAAGAGAAGGGGATATAGAGGCCTCTTGATCAGTGAAGTTGAGTCCATATATAGCCCTGTTTCTCGTCAGGACTTCCAGCAAAGAGAAGCAGGCTGAACATGGGACTTAGGGGACCTTTGATCTGACGTGAATGGCATGGATGGGGGGGCATTGGTGGATCCTTCAAGGTGCTGCCGACAGGGACCCCAGTTTAAGTGACGACAGTGAGGGACAGGAAGGCATCAAAGATGAGAAACACTTTGGCCGTCAATGAAGGAGAGAAAACTGTGTTTTTGTTGAATATGCAAGACTAGAGATGCTCAAACTGTAGTCATTGGCCTTGACTCTTTTCTCCGCCGCTGGTAGAGTTCAGGTACAATACCTAATGGAAATCCAGAGGTAGCATGTACATCGATATCTGCCTCAGCGTGATCCACCGCACCTCATGCTCTGTCAGCCGTCCTTCTTTATGTGAATTGTCCTGCTTGTCTGCCTTGGTCCAGCCTGCTTCTTCCTCTCTTCTCCGGCACCAAAAGGCACTTCTTTCAACCTCATGGAAACACTTTCTCATCTCTCCTGCTGTCCGTTTGATATCCCCGGCTTTTGCGCTGGCCTGACGCCAAGAGTGCCTCCCATCTTATCAGCAGCTCCCGAGCTAAATTAATCCATCCATATCCACGACACGACCCAAACTCCCGGACTGTGCGCCTATCAAAGTCACACCCGTTTTCTGCGACATCCTCCCCCATCAAAGGTCTTCGTCTTCAGGGCAAGAGAACGCCAGGGCTTTCGTTTGACTTTTTTGTCCCTCATCCCTCGACATCGCCCCCCTCTGCCTGCGACGACGCTTTTTATTCACCCGAGCTTAAAACCTGCAGAGTGCGCTTTTGCCCAACCCAAGGACCGCATCTGCTTCTCCACCTGTTGTTTGCCTCGTTCTCGGTCAAAGGACAGCCCCAGGCAGGCAACCAGCTCGAGACGCCTTCACCACACGGACCCGGAGGAACCTGGACCAGCGATTCTACGGACCGTGAAGGCCACACTTCGGCCTCTTCTAAACATCTGTTAGTTTTTCTTTCCTTTCCCTTCAACTTCTCCTCCTCCCAACTTCCTCTTCGACTCATCGCAATTACACCTTCACCTTGATGCCCTGAGGCTGTCTTTCCCCGCCATCCATCCATCGCCTCCTACGCCTACTCCCCCTCCCCATTTCCCGGCCATCCGCTCACCCCTCACCTCTTCATCCCGCACTCTTTTGCCCCTCGTCGACTTCACCTGACACCTCATCATTTCATCCTCGACAGGCTGTACCCGCTGCTATGAAGCTGGTGATGGAATAGTCCAGCCCGTCTTTGCTTCTTTGCTCTCGCCTCGTTATGGAACGGCAGGACCCTAATACTCCCTGCACCCCGCCTGCCGTCATTCGTGAAACTGATTCCCGATCGACTCGTCCATCACTATCGTCATCGCCCTCGGCCTTTACGCTTACACAAGCTCACCAGCGCCGCTCGACGACACCCATCTCCTCTCGCCCACCGACGCCGGCGAGCAACACATCTACGCCTGCAGCACCAGGTCGAAGCCCGCTCTGGACATCAGAGCCCACTCTTCGATTCCCTCGCCCACAAGGCAGCCGGCACCTCGCCAACTGGATCTCGTCCAGCAACCCCGACATCATGCGTGTCACAACCACATCCGAGGACATCGGCTTGTCCGAGTCCACATATGAACTAATCTCGGGCACCGACACCGAGTCCCAAGACGGCAACTATACCGGCTCTATCAGCGAGTCCGTCGGCTCCCTCGACTTCCACCGTCCCGACGACGTACACAGCTTCGCCGGCACCGAGCAGACCAACGATGACGAATCACTTGCCGATGAATATGAGCCTCTTTCTCAGCCCTCCCAACAGGGCTCCGAGGAAGGTCCCGACACCACCACCGCCGCGCAGACCTCGCCACAAGAACAGAGCTGGGCAACTGTTGTCAAGAACGGGGCGCATCCCGAAGTTGAACAGGAGCCTGAGCCCCAACACCAACCCGAACCCGAGGTCAACGCCGAATCCGAGTCCGAATCAGAGGACGAGGCCCTCTCAAGAACATCTCTTGACTATACCCAGCAGAGCCTCAAGGCTCCGTCGATTCCCACACCCGACGCTAGCAACATCATGGAACCACCTTCTCCAGATGATATCGAGGAGGATGCAGACACTAAGCGGGCAAGATTCCACACATGGCTCAGCGGCGTACAGGCCACAGAGGCCCGCCCTTGGCAGTCAGTACTGGATGCTGCAAGTTCGGCACTTCCAGGCCTGCTCTTTGCCCTTGTCCTGGCGGCTTTGATCCCCGTCTTCTTCTCCCCACCTTGCAACACTGCGGCACCCCACACCCCCGCAGCCACTTCCGCTCTCACGACAGCCCCCACTCCCTTGTCCTTTACTTCAAGAGCCTCGTCGTCAACGTCCAGAGTCCAGCCCACATCGACTCGGGTGGCCGAGCTGTTCCCGCTTGAGAACATCCAGCCCAACAATTGGCGCTTCCCGGGCCCAAAACCCGATGTGACCGTCACCAGGCACAGGGGCAACTTCCTTATCCATGTGGCCCAGGATGTCAAGGATTCTTGGCTCTCCAGAAAGTGCCTTCTTTTTACTGCCCAGCGTGGTGAAGAAAATGTCCGGTTTTCTGTCTCGTCTGTCGACGAAGGCCTGCTTCTCAAGTTCCCGAACGAAGAGGCGCACGGCACAGTCAAGGTCGACATCCGTACTACTTGCTGGCCAAGAATTGGCAAGACCCTTCGGATCACCTTTGAGAAGGGCATTATTTCAGAAGCTCTGGAACTATCCAAAGCCTTTGCTCAGAACCTCCCTGAGCTCGTCCCCGCTGCTGCTCAAGAGGCAGAGCGGCGCCTTGAGGGAGCCAAGCGCTCGCTGGAGACAGCAACTGACAACTTCATCATGACATCCGACAGTCTGCTCAAGACTTTCACTGCCAGGTTCCATGAAACACACCGATCTCTTGGTTGGATCAAGAAGGACATTCGAGACCGCGTTAGACTCGCTAAGGAGGACGTCTCAAAGAGGCTCGAGGATGTGGCAGACCAGGTCAAGCAGCATCTTCCCAACACTGACGTTGTACAACAGCAGGCTCGACTGGGCCTACTTGATGCTCAGATCTCGGCCAAGCTTTGGTGGCTGAAGCTGACAGCCGGCAACGACGAGCATACTCGATACCAGCTCAAGGCCAAGGAGTTCATGGCCAGAAAGCTGGCCGAAATCAAGAACCGCCGAAAGCTCGCGCACGAAACGACGAAGCAAAAGGCCTACGAGCCTCTTTGGGCCAAGATGCTTGGTGGCACTCGATGAGAAGGGGAGGCCTCGACGGTAGAAGGGGGCATGATTCTTGCAAATTTGTGGCGTAGAGGTTTTCTCGGTCATTTCGTCGTTATTGTTATGTTTTTGCGAGCACCTTTGTGTGAGGGCCGGAACCTGGGTTGGCAATATTGAGGTATGGGTCAAGGCTAGGTACTGGACTGGAGTTCGTGGGCACTCATACCGTCATGTAGAGGTGCTTTTTGTTGTTTTAGTTTCTTTCGGTGGCCTCTCTTCTCCTTTATTTTACGGTATTCGATGGTCTCATGATTCCCCCTGCTGCCAGTCTCAGCGTGCATTTCGTCTTGGGCTATGCTGCGACTACCTGGGGGTAGAGGCTAGTCGTTTAATGGGCAAGATCAAGAAGGATAAATGATTAAAATTGGGAGGGCCAAAATGTTGGGTGGAGGATGGAAATGAGCCATCGTGCCAGTTCCCTAGCAACGCAACTAACAAAGACACTGTTGTGGAGGTGAAGATAGGGTCTTGGAACCGTTGAGGAATGGGAGAGTCAGTATTTCTCGAGACAGAAATGTCTTGGATAGGTAGTTCAAGAAGATGTAGTCTTCCAAGTCTACATACTATAAAACCCTCGATTTTTAACAAAATCCTTGTATGACAACCCAATATCAATCAATATCCATGCATGTTTGTGTCGAAGCAGTTCGAACATCAAGGTCTTCACGTGCTCCACCAATGCACTAGCACAACAGGGAACCCCACAGGCAATTTTGGGCTCGCCCGTCTGCCTGATGAGCACCTAATGGCCAGAATGTACCTACCCAGCATGAATTTGCTTGAAAGTGACCTCTGTGTAGCGCATGGATCTATCTCCTCCCCAATCACAGGCTGGCATTGTTGACCTTTGCAGTGAGCACAGCAGCACAGAATGGGAAAAAGGAGGGGCACTCGACGGTGGTGGGCGTGGGCGGCGGCCTGACATAGAAGGTACCTAAGGTAGGTAGCGAGAAAACAAATCACCAGACTTTGACCGCACCCAAAACGCAACCCACTTCCACCATCTACCAGACATCACCACCGCATCTTTCAGTTATCTCTGACCCCCCGAGCGCCACTCGTCGTTCTCAGCTAGCATTTGCATATTCGCGTTCTGCTTCTCCGGTAAGTCCCCCGAGTGCCTTTTATTCTATCCTCTTTTTCGCCTGTTTCCCTCCCGCGTTGCTGGGGAGCACGGATGGATCTGAACCCCTCCCCGCCAAAACAGGGAGAGGAGGGGTAAAACCATGACTGGGGTTTTTGGACAAAAAAAAGTTGCTGACGTCTGAGGGGCAACAGTTTTTCCCAGTCTACAATCTCGACCGAACAAACAACCGCCAATATGTCTGCTTCCGAGCCCACTGAGCCCAAGGTCGAGGAGACCAAGGTTGAGGAGACTAAGCCTGAGGAGACCAAGCCCGAGGTCGCCCCTGCCGCTGAGGCTGAGGGCAGCGCCGACAAGCCCGTGACGTCCTCGTCCGTGTTCTCCATGTTTGGTGGTGGCGCCAAGAAGGAGAAGAAGGACGAGGATGAGGATCGCGGCGATAACTCGGGCAGCGCCAAGGCCCAGCGAGAGGCCAAGGGTGATGTATGTTGTTTTCGGACCCCAGCTGAGCTGCGTTCCTCGTCACCATTCCGGTGCTAACGTGTTTTTGCTCTTATAGGAGGATGCCCCCGAGTCCGAGGATGTCCACTTCGAGCCCGTCATCAAGCTGACCGAGAAGGTCGAGACCAAGACCAACGAGGAGGCCGAGGAGCAAACCTTCAAGATGCGCGCCAAGCTCTTCAAGTTCGTCAAGGAGAGCAGCGAGTGGAAGGAGCGTGGTACCGGTGACGTCCGCCTGCTCAAGCACAAGGAGAACGGCAAGACCCGACTCGTCATGCGCCGAGACAAGACCCTCAAGGTCTGCGCCAACCACTACATCGTGCCCGAGATGAAGCTCTCCCCCAACGTTGGCTCCGACCGCAGCTGGGTGTGGAACGCCGCCGCCGATGTCAGCGAGGGCGAGCCCGAGGCTGTTACCCTGGCTATTCGATTCGCCAACTCTGAGAGTATGTGCTCGACCTGATATCTGTGGTCAAGAACTTGTTGCTAACACATCTACAGACGCCAACCTCTTCAAGGACTCTTTCATGAAGGCCCAGAAGGAGAACGAGGAGATCTTCAACAAGGCTCAGGAGGCCGAGGCTCCCGCTTCTTAAGGAGCCTCCCATTTACTCCCTTCCCCTCCCCTTCCCCCTTCACGGCCGGCCCAGACACCATAGAGGATACACACTCGCTTGTAGTCCCAAATGGCTGAGGCCGGCTTTGCTCTGAACCCCCCAGACACATCACAACATCAAAGAACCCCTTCACATTGTCGTGGGCTATTGACCCATCGACTTCGCATACCATACACACGCACACGCAACACCCCATCACAACGCGCAAAGCACTACGCCACCGAATTCTCAACCTGTTCTGGCATCGATGAACAGAGTATGCTGGGGAGTGGAAAGGCGAGGTGGGCATCTCTGAAGCTCTCACCTCGAGGCGGGTTTGGTGGATGGATGGATAGCAAACATTGTAGGAGCATTCAAATCACATAGCACCCTCAGTTGAAAGAAGTAAAAGAAAAAAATTCGATAGACCCTTGTGATGCCCACTTGTGAGCTATGTAATTGCATTGAAGTTGACTCTAGGAGAGGTTGGAGAATTGGTCTGGTTCGTGCGGGTTTGGCTGGTGTGGCTGAAGCGTGGCTGACAAGAACTGCTCGGTCAGTGAAGTCTCAGCTCAGCTGGCTTGCGGTATGACGACTTTGACCAAGTGAGTGGAAGCCTGGACAGAGGAACTGAATCATGCACGCTGAGCTGTGTCATGAAGTCCGGCATATGCATCTACCTGCCTCTTGGACGAGCAACCAAGCTGGCTAGGCCTCTGCTTGTATTCGCGTATTGGGAGTCTCGTGGTGACTTGAAAGGGGGATCCAGAGCTGCAGTCTTACAAAGAAAGGAACAGGCAGGTAGGCACCCGTTCGTTCGCCTTGAGACGGGATTTGATAGCCATCCCGTCTGGTCAGGAAAAAAAAAAAAAAAAGAACCTTGACATCTGCCACGCCTCGTTCACGTCACCGTTCCGATGGATGGGACAGCTGCCCTGTTCCCCTGCGTCAAGCCTAGTGACGAGGATGCGTAGTGGAGCAGCGACCTGAACCCAAAGCGTCCAGCCCAGCCCCCTAGGGCCATCGTGTCTTGGAGTGCCCATCGTCCCGTCGTGTCGTCAGTTGGTCCAATGTGCTGTGCTGTGCTGCGCTGTGCCCTGAAGTGCTTCCACTAGACGCTCAGCAGCGACAAACATCAGGTCCAGTCCATCGCTGGTCTTACTTCCTGTTCCCGTCCATTGCCCACGTCGACCCTCCTCAGCCTCATCAAAGGAAACCAGAGTCTTCCCCCCCAATCCCGCTTGGGCATTTTCTGTTCCCCTTGCCTCGTCTTTTCTCTCTTCTTCTTCTCCCTCTAGCCCCTGTCCTGGCATCCATCGCCCGCAAAACATCAACCCCCTTGCTACCCGACCTGACGCTTCACTCCCCGTGCCATCTTTTCTTAGCTGACTGACCTGTGCTGGGCTTGAAAGGCCTGCCTGTCCGTCTGCCTGCCTCACACGCGCCGGGGCGCTCTTGCTTGCCTCCCCCCCCCGTCCAGCCGACTCTTCCGCCTCCGCTTTCCGCCGCCTCAGCCAGCCAGCCAGCCGGCCAGCACTGACACTGTACCTTGGCCTGGCATTTTGTCCCCCTTGTAATTCTCTCTCCCACCTTGTTGTGTGTCCCGTCTTGTCTGTGTGTCCAATCCTTCCTCATTCTTGATCAAAACACCCCCCGGAGAATATCGACGACGCTCCGTTTGGCTTTTTTTTTGTGTGTCAGAGTATCTAAAGGCGAGAACGAGATCGGAGGAAAATATGCTTGTTGAGGTGAGTCTGAAAATCCAATTGCTCGACCCCGTGGATATTGTCCGATTTTTTGCCCCCCAAGCCGCCTCCGTCGTCCTTGTTCCTTTGCCCTCCGCGTGTTGTTGTTTGGTTTCTGGTCATCCTTTTTTCGCTTTCGCTTTCTTTTCTGATGGGGTTGGATGCTTTGGTTCGTTCCTCGGTGATTCACCGGCCTTGAGCGCGTGTGCTCTCGCGCGCCGCACGAACGAGGCTCTGTCGGGAGGGTTGCCAGTGGTCTGCCGGTGACGGGATGGACGTTGCGCGTGTTGGGGTCGGACAGCGAGAAACAGCTGGCCATGATGGCTTCGACCGCTGGTTCCTAGTGGCAAGCTCCCGACACTGTCCACCTCGAGTGTGAGGTTGCCCTTGCCTTTCCCGTTTGCTCTGCTCCTATTGTGTTTCGTTTGTTGTGCGAGCCGCAGCTTCACCCAGACTCTTCTTCATCACCCTTGCGGCCATCGCTCTTGTTTCCTTTGCCTTTACCAACATCATCGTCACCCTTAACGCCAGCGCGTTTCTTCTCTTTTCTCTTTCCCACCAAGCACTTGTGTTACTGTGCGACTCTGCCGCCATCTCCAGTCTGCTGCTTCTTGCCTTGCCCCGTATCTACACACGCCCTCGCGGTGGTTTGCGCGCCGACCCGCAGACCGCATCGCACCCTGCGCTTCTCAGCCAAGATGCCTTCACGAAACCACCAAACTACGCCGCGCAGGATCAAATTTAGGAAGACTGCTAATGACATCCAGCGTAAAATCAAAGTTGTCACCGAACAACATGTCATGTGAGTTTGGTCTCTTCTGGTCGTGTAGCTGGCTCCCCGCCTATTCGACCCAGTCGCATGCCGTTTCTGGTGGCACTCTGGTTCGGATGAGGCGAGATCTTGAGGCGCACAAGACTAACAGCGCCGCCTGTAGCGACAAGCCCTCGCCTATGGAGGCATTCCCCATGCGAGAATGGAGCTTGAAGATCTTCCTGCTGGACGAGGATGGCAACGAGCGACCTGCCGATGTCTTCAACAAGGTTGTCTACAACCTGCACCCCACCTTTGAGAATCCCGTTCAGAGTATGAATCCCCTCCTGGCTATTCGTTTGGCCTTTTCTCGGCTATTGAAGTAGTGGGACTAACGGAATGCGTTTGCCTTGTAGCGTTCACCAAGGCTCCCTTCACGTGTCAGAATGAGGGTTGGGGCGAGTTCGAGATTAGCATCGATTGCTACACCACGGAGAAGACCAAGCTGGCTCCCATCATCCAAGACCTCAACTTTCAAAAGAACAAGTACGATGTGACGCACACCGTCGTGTTCAAGAACCCCTCCCAGAACTTGCAGGAGCGCCTGCGAGAGACGGGTCCTCTTCCCACGGATGACGATCATCGACCCAAGAAGAAGGGACTCGCAACCAAGAAGAGTGCTCAGAAGTACGACTACGAGAAGATCGCTGAAGCACTGGAGAAGCTTGAGGAGGAAGATTTGCTGCGCGTTATCCAGCTCATCAACGAGAACAAGGGTCCAGACACCTACATAAGAAGTGATGTAGAGGGTGAGTCTTCCTATGCATCTCCAATTCACCAGACAGCTATTCCCCACCCCACTTCCCTCAACCGTCGTTTGTTGCGTTTTCCAGGAAATTGATGAATCCGGTGGGCTAATAGTGGATGATTTGACTAAAGCCGGAGAGTTTTCGATTGATCTCTACACGATGCCGGACATTCTGACAACGAAGCTGTGGGATCACCTCGTAAGTATTTCTACTTGATTGCAATTTCTTTCGGCTCGGTTGGTGACTGACATCTCTCCCCCGCCAACAGTCCAAGAAGGGCCTCGTCAGCTAGAGGCTCGCTCTCAAGTCTTAGTGTCGCACCCTACTGTTGCTTTGGCGACAACTGGGCCTACGATTGGCGCTGGAAAACTGCAAAGGGATCCGTGGTTTAGGAAAAATGACGAGTAATGAGCATGGGTGGTCGAAGTGGAAGCGAGAGGAAACCGAAGGAACGATACTTTGATGGTCGGAACGTGGACTTACATGGACCAAGGATGGCTGGACGGCCTCGACGGAGCAGCTTGGAGTTTTGGATCTCAAGCTTCCTCTCCGCACCATGACCTTTCACAGAAGATGTAAATCTTTAACAGCAAAGCACGGGAGCAAAATGATGTTACCGAAGGACGTTGAACCATACGAGCCGGAGAAGTTGTGTGTGAGTGGAATTGGCCAATGACACGAGGTCTTGGCCCGTCTCGGCTGGCCACGTTCGGGGCCGTATTTTGGACCGACGGGCCCAGATGGATCAACAAGGCGGGAATCGGCGTCTCACCGGATCGGAAGTGGTGTATCGGCGCGGCATGTGGTCTGGGGTCCAGGGGCCGGTGCTAGGAAGATGGGTATCGAACCCGACTGGCTGACTGGGGGTGAGGAAGCTTGTAGTTTTTGAGTCTTATATCATTGTTTGGGGAGATGGAAGCACGGATGACAGATGGTGTGTGTATTATGAGGTCTTAGAGGACAATTCTATCAATGTATTTGATACTTGCGAAAGTTGATGTTGAATCTTGGGTGATGGATGAATGATGTGATAATGGGCATGATGTTACTGGAACCAAGTTGAGCTGCCCTGCGAGTAGTGTTGCGTGGCAGACATGGCCTGATGCATGTGTACTGCCTGTTTACTTAAGATGGGGGCCAAGTTACGTGACACTTGGCTGGAGGTTCTGACTTTCATCGAGGTAGCTATTTCAGGCTCTCGATTTTCACGATTCTAGTCAACAGTACCCTCAAGTCGAGATTCTATCCCCTGCTTCTACGGACCAACTGCCGGTCCGGCTGGACTTCTCCCATCCGTGGCGGCGGCGGCATGGCTGGGGCTTCGACTCTGGAGGCACGGGGAGATTACCACCCGCCGCGTGAGCCGCATCGGCACTTGTGGCACCAAGCATGTAGGTATCACGGAGGAGGCGGTCTTCAATGTCACGTTCGGCACTAGTGGAGTGTTTGGGACTCGGTAAGCACGGGTTCTTCGGCAGTGATGGGGGGAGGGGGAGGATCTCGAGCAGGGGTGTGCGAAAGAGATTGTGGGGGAAGTGAGAGAGAGACGGACGAGGTCTACTGGGCAAGTTTGCGACCGCTTTGTCCAAGGGAAGACTCCGCTTGAGTGCGTTTGTGTTTACGTACGCGGACAAGGGACGAGATCCGGGGCTGCCTGTGCTCTTACATGGATTGGAT